AGCCAGTTTTACTAGAGAACAGGGGAGTTTAGCACTGAAGGAGTTCAGTTTTTATGGCTGGAAGTGATTCATGAATTGGTGTGTCAGATCCATACTCCCAAATGCTATATTTAAGAGTAACATTAAGAGACAGTCCTTGAAGACATTACTGTCCCAAATGGGGAGTAGGAAAATGTAGTCAAATACATGAAGAAAGAAACATGGAATATTCACGCCATGGGGCATTGCAGAGGTCAGCAAGTAAATGACCACCCTGAAGTGTTTGTAACTTCAAACCCAACTGCTGAGTCAAAATGCACTGGAGGCATAACTGGCTCCTTAACATTTCTTATATCAACTAAATATCCATCACTTCTCCCTTGAAGGAACATTATTCCCAGTGTGAAAGGTTCAACCAGGGCTAGTTTCCAGGGAATTACATTTCAGGTGAGGATAAAGTTTATTAATGATAAGTGTGTCAGGTCTCTTTAGGTCTAGACGAAAATGCCATCCATTGGAAGCTGGGATGTCTTTCACTCTAGAATTTTGTTTGTTTCCAGCCTGTTAATATGCTTTGAGAAGTTTGTCAGAACAGAGGTAGCTTCAGTTATATGGAGCAGTAATTGGAGACTTCTGGATATAATTACTTTGCAGTTCCCTAAAGCCTTCAATGATCTTTTGTATTTTTTTTCCCCAAACCTGTTGGCCATATTAAAAGTTGCTGCATTCTTATTCCACACCCAAATTCTGCTATCAGGGTAGGGTAGAGAAATTCTGCAGAGTCAAGGGAGACTGCAGGGATTTCAGTATTAAAGCAGAGTTATACTCCGTGTTTAAATGGATACCCAGTTACCTTTTTATGTATTTTCTGTCCACTTTGCATTTTTGTCCTCTCCATGTATTCTGGTGCTTGGCTTCCTTCTGTCTGGGTTCTGGTCAGGAAAGGGTGTGGAAGTAGCACGCAGGACCCATGTCCTGGTTAATATGAGTCACATTGTCAAGGCTGATGGTATCAGGTTTTTTCATTTACCTCTTTCAAATAGGGTGGGTCCCTTGAAGTGTATTTTGCAGCTTGCTTCAGATGTGTTGCTCTGGCCATTGTACAAGCAAATTTGTAATTACTTATTTTGGGGCAGAATTGAAAGGTGGGGTTATTATCTCTATTTACCTGTAATGCATCCATTGGGTGAAAAGTTGTCAAGGTTCAAAGAGGGATTGAGACTGACATAATGGTATGCTTTTGTGTACTATTCTATATGAGGTCCATTTCATAGACTCATAGATTCAGAATAGTTTGAGTTGAAAGGGACCTTTAAAGGTCATCCAGTCCAACCCCCTTGCAGTGAGCAGGGACATCTTCATCTAGATCATGTTGCTCAGAGCCCCATTCAACCTGACCTTGAATGTTTCCAGGGATGTGGCATCTACAGACTCTCTGGGCAACCTGTGCCAGTGTTTTGCCATCCTCTTCATCAAAAATCTTCCTTACACCCAGTCTGAATCTACCTTCTTTTAGTTTAAAACCATTCTGCCTTGTCTTATCACTACAGGCTCTACTAAAAGGTCCATCTCCATTTTTCTTATAAGTATTGAAAGGTCTCCCCAGAGCCTTCTCTTCTTCAGGCTGAACAACTCCCAACTCCCTCTTGTTAACTATCTGAAGCCTAAATAGGAAAGCTTAGTATGTATGGAAAGTACAAAATTACTGGTGAAGATTAATCCGTAAACAATAAGAGAACGCCAAGAAGACAGTGATACTTTGATACTGTACTCTTTCTTGAATCACTGGAGTGGATCATTAGCCATAAAAACGTATGCCCTTTTTGTTAGTAAAGTGGATACCTGGTGTAATGTTGTGCATCCTGAGTGCTGACATAAGGGCTACATTATGTATTTCTGTCGTGTAGGTATTGGGTAGAGAGGTTTCATGGAGTATTTTACTGTTACTCTTTCTTCACATCATTTTGCAACTCTGCAAGACCAGTGGAATGTGGCCAGTTGATAGCTTCAAAGGTGATGCAGAGCAGCATCCTTTTTGTGGAAAACATGTTCAGATAACTTGCTTCTGTTTTGATGTCCAAACTAAGAGAAGAACAGAGCAGGAGAAGACAGGAGAAGAGGCAGGAAGAGCCGAAGAGGCAGGAAAGATTCAGGCATGAAGAGCTCTTCACCTGAGAAAGACTGAGTAGGTTGGCACTGTTTAGAGACAGTAAGAGAATGGAGAAATAGTATACTGAGGAAAACAAATCTGTTTGGACAAGGCAACCAAGTAACCTTCTGCTTACTCTTCCATGGTCACACAAAGTTGATCAATGAAACTGAAAATCCAAACCTGTAAGAACTGTAAGGTGTGCTCTGTAGCACACCACAGCCTTGAAATGTATTGTCACATGCTGTCATTATCTTTAATGACATTATCAGTGTTCCAGAAGAATCCAAAATAGAGGTAAAAAATTGAATAATGAGGAGCAAGCAACTGTATCTAATACCTTTAGTTGTTTCACTTACTAAGCTGTGTAATGATTCATGACCAAACCTAACTTCCTGGCAGTAAGAAATAATTTCTTCTAGCAGCTTAAGCAGCCTACATAAAGAGAAAAATGTACGTCTCTTAAGCTGTTTGGGAAGCTGTTCCTGCTTGGGTGGGAGCCTGAAAGCTCCTGTTAGCTCTCACTTTTAAAGTCTGGCTTCTCAGTGTATGGAATACTGGTAAAATGGAAAAACTTAACATGCCTTCCAAAACTAATTTGAAATACATCTGGTGGCTGGGTCGTCCCTCGCCACACATCAGCATGCACTGGAGAAGCCGTACAGAGGGAGGCGGTTAGCACATGAGCCTGAGTCATGGTAGATAAGTTTCTATAGAATTCACTTTTGAGGGAAGGGGAGGATGGAGGTTCTGTAGGGACAGCATAGCAGTGCCTGCTGTGGCTAGAAGAAACTCAGTTTTGTCCATGTCTTGTTGGTCTTTATAAGTCAAAGTGTTAGTACAGAGCTGGACTGTTGCAATACTTCTGTGCATGGATGAGCAAAGCCTGTGTTTCAGTCAACTTAATTTTTTTTTTTTTTTTTAGAATTTCAATTTGTTCTTGTCATTGAGAGCAAATAATTTTAATAGAAACTTTCACACCTGCAGGTCAAATTTTTTATGCGCTATTTAATGCTGAGTGGATGAGATACTAAGTGATAACAACCACAAGCTTTAAGATGGTCTTTTGCACCAGCAAAATGCATCCTGGAGTATGTGATGCAACTTCCAAAGCTATGTATTGCAACTTCTTTGATTTGCAGTCTGTCTTAAAATTCCCCTGCTGGAAGCATGGACCCCTGCCTCAGTGAATTGGGTACCTTAGAAACAAGCCATGACCCCATATGATGCAGCAGATGAGTGATAGAATTGGTGAGCTGTGAGCAATGGTAATAAGAGTGATGGGACAGGCTTATTAGCAAAAGGGTGTGTGGGTGCTTAAGCACCAGAATGGAGGCGTTTGTTTAGTTTGATGACATGTAACTTGTGACACACAAAATTGAAGGAAGACCTAAAAGGAGGAAGGTGGTGGGCAGATCTCATCTCACTCAACAGGGTTCATGTTGCTGTCTTATGCCAACAGTCTTATACCAAAAAAATTGAGCCCGAAAGCATGTTGATGGAGAATATATTAGATGTATGTTCACAATGGCCCTTTGGTCTTTGGAAAAGATCAACCCAACTTCAGACTGTGTTCAAAATGCTTAAGGTACTGCATGAAACAGCGGTGGTTTTCTGTGTGCATTGGATATTAAGAATACAGATGCTTTGTTATCCCAAAGGTATTGGGGAAACTGAAGAGAACTTTGAGAACAGCTTAAAGCAGGAGCATGGGTTGGGTAATCACCTTAGGAAAAAAACACAAGAGCAGTATGTGCAAACTGACAGCTCTATGTGGGGGAAATGCATATTACAAACAGTAGAATAGTGCGCACACTAATAAAAGAGAATGATTGATAATAGTTGTTAGGATTGAGTAGTGAGAGGAAGTTGAGAAACCTAAGGTTAATAACAGGAAACTCTAGTCCAGATGTCTTGTCCTGTTCAGAAGCTTCAGCAAGACAAAGTGGTAACTGTTTTGAAGGTGCTATGTATACCTCTCTAACTGTTCTCTCAAAACTCAGTTTCAGGTTCCAAATTTCTCAGCAAATTCCAGAGGGTGGCCAATGACAGATTTTTTTTTTTCTTTTCCTCTGAATCTTGGGGGAAATCAGCAAAGTCATAAGAGGAGTTAACAAGAGATTGCTGTCAAAGTGAATTGCACTGTGACAGGTTGCGCGTCCTCTGCCTTGCACTGCTAAAAGTCTCGAGTTTATGAAGGTACAAACAAGAACTCTTTGAGAGCTTTGCAGTAACTTTGGAATTCAGATATTTACTGAACACACTGTAGTACAGGGGAATAAACCCATCCCCAGCAGTCATTTCTTTCCTTACCACTTGTTGTTTGTCAGCAATTATTTGTCTTGAGCCAAATAAAGATGCATTTTGAGATTTCTCTGAATTTGTTTTATTTAATGAATAAAAATAATAGTGCATGTTTCGAAGTATTTGTATAGTTCTAAACATAGTAGCTTCATTTTCTTTAGGTGATGTTTTGACTAATACAGAAAGTCCTTGCATACAGTGACAATAATATACATTTTGAGTGCATTTCTTCAAAGGACCTGTAAGTCACTTACACTGAGACTTTGCAGTCATGATGCAATGAACTGAAATCTTAAAATGAAAGTCAGTCAAACTAACCTTAAATCTTCTTGCTAATGAGTAAAAGAATAAGGTTCACATTACTCTTCAACTTTTTGTAAGATCCCAGGGGGAGTTCATGGATGGAAGGTGTTAACATCTGTTTCATCCTACTCACAGGTCAAGAGGGTGGTATTCTTCTTTCTTCAGTCCAGCCTGCACTAGAATCTTAGCTATAGGGTATGTTTTTTCTGCTTCACTAATGTCTGTGTTTGACAGGCCTTCCCGTTTTTTTTTAATGTGATTTCAGCTTCCAAACAATTTGCTGAAGAAGTCTTGAAAGCACACAATGACTACAGGAAGAAACATGGAGTCCCCCCATTAAAACTCTGCAAGAAGTTAAACAGAGGAGCCCAGCAGTGAGTTCAGTCCTTTCTTTTCTCTAATGAGATTCGTGACACTTTTATCTGTTAGGTTTGACTGTGTATACTGTAGAAATATTTGTGTTTTGACATGCTGACATTCAATGAAGACTTACTGGGTGGAGAATGAGGGACTCCACTCTTTGTGTCTCCCTACCCAACTCTTTTTGTCCTTTCTTTCTCCTTCTTTCATCACATAGCACCAGCTGGTCACATGGACACTTCTGTGGTTACAACTTTATAAATCTGTCTTGCACCCTTTTCCAGGCATGGGCTGCATCTGTCTGCACTGGTGTGTCTCCTCTGCAGACGGTAGTTGGCTAAAACATGCTTCACCACCACCTCTGTCACATGGTGGATTGTCTTCTGCAGGACAGTAACCACTGCTGCCAAAATAGAGAGAAAAGAACTTTTTCATGCTACAAAATGATGGTTGGTCTAAGATCAGTGAAATGAGAAAGAAGTAACTTCAGATCATATTGTCTATCTCCCTGCCCCAAAAGCAAAATCAGTATATGTTGTTCTTTACTCTGTCAGGAGGGACATATCTTATCTCTTCTCCAGTGCTGAAGACTGCGCAGCTTCTTGTCAGTCTAATGTACATATATCTTTATGCTGTCTGACTTAAATCTTCCTTACAGAAATTTGAATCCAATACTTCTTATCCCTTTTGCTGCAGATGCAACCAGGTTGTTTCCTTTCCTTTTACAGCAACCTGTTTCAAAGTAGATTTGAAAACCTTTTTTTTGTTTTCTCAGGCTGAGCCTCACAGTACAAAGGAGATACCTGAAGGAGAATGCTGATTCAGAAAATAAATGTCCTTCCACAGTGGCTAAGTAGTGGCCAGTTTGATCCCTGTAGGCAAGAGGCTTTCTACCACAAGCATGCAGACTTATCTGTGCTGGCCAGCTGGGAGGCAGAGAGGCTGTAGCCTTTCTCGTACCTGATTTACTGTCCCAGCATAGTGCTGCACTGTCACACAGATGCACCAGCTTCTGCACTCCTCAACCAGAGATCTCTGCCAGGTGTGGTGCTGTACAATGTGCACATGCCCTTTGGCACCAAGCAAAATCTGTTTCTGTCTTGATTTTTTTCCCATCATTTTTTCTTGAGACACCATGGTAAGTGGATATAGTATTTCTAGGAGATGGAATGCCAGTGACTCATCCACATACCTCTGTAATCTGCTGGGGTTTTCCTTCTGCTCTTCAAAGGGCTGTTTTGTTTCTGTTTTACGCGGTGCATCAGGAGGAAGAAATTTCATTGACTTGTCAATAACACTTGCGTCTCCAAAGTGCTACAGTTGCTTTGAACAACTCAACTTGTATGAATAGTTCAGATTATTCTGTCAAATATGCATTGCTCAACATTTATCTCTAAGTGTTATACTGCCCTTGCTAGATATTTTTAGATCCTTCTGGAATTCCTCAGTCCTCTCTGGTCTCAGCTGACTTTCCCAACTGTGGTGAATAACAATAGTAAACCTTTGTTTGGTTGTGCAATGACACATATTCAGAGACTGATGAAACTGGTTGATAGCAAGAACCAGATGGTTGATCTGAATATAAGACATGAAATATAAGAGATGTCATATTTGTCAAGACAGATTTTGCATCTTGTTAAATTCAAAGAACTTTACCTTTATGTATATTTGACATCTCTGTTGCTATGCATTTGGTGTATATCTGGATACTTTTCTGTGCTTCTCTGTGCTGAAAATGGTCTGTTTCTTACTATTTTCAGTTCCAATAATTACGACAGGTTACATGAACTGAATATTGGATCTCCACTTTAGCATGAGATGAGTCATCCTCAGCAGATTTATCTCTGACTGTAATGAAGCACAGGGTGGTGATCTCAGATGTAAACCTCATGCTTTTAACTGCCTGAGCTAGATTGAATTAATCACTCTTTGTCCCAAGCCCTTGGCAACTTTATCTGTGTGCAAAGTGTACTCCGTTCCAGCCTTTGCTTGGGATGTGGGAATCCTTGAAGAGAAAAATTACAGGACTGTAGAGATACAGGGCATGAAGGAGCAGTTAGGGATCCTCTAGTCCAGGATCTAGCAGACTGACAACTGACAAGTTTACATTCATCCAGACTAATAGATCTAACTAGTTACTTTTTTTGTTTGTTGTTTTGATAGAAGAATTAGGACAGAAGGAAATAAGAACCCAGTGTCTGAAGTACTAGCTTGGGCCAAAATGTTCAGCTGGACAAATTTCCTGTCTCTGGCAGATGCCAGTAATTCACAGTTAGGAAAGGAGTAGCAGGACAAAACAAATGTGGCGATCCTTTCTGCATGATCTTCTCCTGGAAGTTACAGATTTATACTGTAAATTATGGTTTTCCTAAGCAGAAGGTTGTATCCTCATTTTTTGTTGCTGTTATTTAATAAGCCCTGAAGATTACTCCTCACATACACACACTGTAAATTAGTCTAGCTCTTTTTCAAACCCACACATGCTTTGGTGTCTACATTGTCCTGTGGCAATGACTTCTAATGCACAGTGTGGAAAAAGCACTTTGTCTTGCTTCGCTTTTAAATCTATGACCTGATGATTCTGTGTGTTGCCTCCTATTTCTTGTAGCGTGAGAAATAACAAATGGTGTTTCCAATTTCAGTGTCTCTGTACTGAAGCCTTTCCAATGTTGAATAAACAGAATAATTGTTTTACACGGATATTCTTCTTAACCCTGTTGTGAGACAATAAAATACATCCCACACTCTCACATGTCAGGTTATATAAAAAACAGTGTTGCTTATCGCTGTGTTGGTGTACACAGTTGTTGCCTCAGATGCTCCATGTGGTCCCCTTCTCTTCTATACTGTCGCCTGGCACATTGCTCTTGCATTGCATCTGACTTCATTTGTAAATATAGGGTTTTTTTACAATTGCTTTGACTGAATCCCCACTTCAGTCTTTTTTCTTACTCAGTGTGAACATTTAAGTTACTCCTGTTAGTGGCCTAGAAACATCAGGAAGTGACACCTGTAACAATCACTGCAGGTACTTCCCTTTCCACCAGCAGCTGCAGCCAAGGATGGCCAGTGGATTTCCAGGTGCAGGGAAGAATACGGTGGGGGAGATCTGCCCTTTGATTTCTTCTAGGCCCTTTTCAGCAGTGACACAGATGCTCATGAAAGAAAAGAAAAATGGCCTCTGGGCTTTCCCTTTGCCTAATTCTTAGATCTATGTAGGTTTAAAGCATCCCTGGCTTCAGAGCTTTACAGTTCAGTAACTTAAACTGTCATAGAATCATGGAATAGCTAGGGTTGGAAAGGACCTTAAGATCATCTTCCAGCGAAACTCCTTGCTTGCATCTCATCCTCTCCCTCCTCCTCCTTCTCTCTGCTTGCTGTGGCTGTGTTCCATGGCTCAATATGTGGATTCCTTTGTTAGGTATGCAGAAGAACTGGCTACCACAAGGGTCCTCAAACACAGCTCTGAGTCTGCTAATGGAAAATGTGGAGAAAACCTAGCATGGGCATCCTATGACCAACCAGGTAAGCTTTCTACTCTTGTTGTCACAGAGACACTGAATAAATGTGTTTTCTCATGTACTTTGGGCTCGGAGCATCTAGTTGCAACAGTACTGGTGTTTTCTCTGCTTCAAAAAGGCATCCATTGCAGTCCCCTAGTGTCCCTGGGGACAGGATGGTGGTTTGCAGTAACCTGCATATACTGACAGCAAGAAGCACATGTGGGCACAGAAGAGGTAAGGGACTGTGCTGTAGTGTGCTGTGTCCTTTTGGAGATAGGAGTTGGCAGCTAGGCTGCTCCGTATGTCCCCACTATGGAGCTGTCTTGAGTGCTACTTGTATGTGCATGTGAAGAGAGAAGGAGGTTGTCAATGCCACATACTTCACCTTTATCCTTAGTTTGTCCCAGCAAAGAGAAGGCTGACCACAGGCCAGCTGGGGTGAGGAAGGTGGAAAAATGGCCACTGCATGCTATGTAGCAGTTTCTGTTTGTATGGGCAAAATGGGAGCATGGACACCAAAGTGTCAGAGGTTAATGTGTTAGACATCTAGTCTCTTCTGGTTTGTCAGCAAAACAAGCTTTGAGCCCTTTTCCATGCCTTCATTTTCAAAGACAAAAGTACTCCATATATTTTTTTGATCATAAATCTAACATGTAACTGGCAGCCTTTGATTTGGATGCCCGGGGAGCTGAATTTTGGCCAGGCCAACAGCCTGTGGTGAGCTTTCAGTTGGAATGATGTTCAACAGGCTCTTCCCTCCTGCCTCGTCGAGTGGCCAGGGCTCATGCTTTAGCCTGCTGAGACAGCAGGTGGGATGTATTAAAAGTGACCACTTGCTTTCTTCGTTTCTGTCTACCCCTGGAATTTCCAGCACAGCCTCAGGGAGACAAAAACTCATTTCTGCAGGCTGGAGCCTCTGTCTGAAGGACCTGGAAATCTTAGGAAGTGAGGTTTAGACCGAGGGACACTGCTCGGTTCCTATGCAAGTGCCAACTCTAGTCCCCAGTGGGTACTTTATCATGTTGAAAAAGAAATCCGGGGTGGAAAAATACAATTTGATCTACTCATACTTGGCATTCTGTCCATTGCAAGAGTCTGAAGCAAGGGTTCAGAGCACCATGGGAAAACACGGATGTACGGCGAAGTTTGTGGCTATGACTCACTGACTGAGCTTACTTCTTCCTTCTTATTTGTGTTAATGGCCTGTGCTCCTTCCCCAAGGTTAAAGTCGCAGAATTGCCATTTGGAGAGCTGGAATCAAAACACATGCATTCTTCCATAAATTATATAATGCCTATCTTTTTCTGTATCCCATTTGTTCTCTTCAATGCACTGTTTCCATACTTAACTTTCCAGTTCTGAGCAATTTTGTCGCTATTTTTTCATCCACAGGATTGAATGTCTTGCTGAGAAAATTAAGCTACATCCTCTTGTTCTGTAAAACACTTCTACATTTCCTATGTAGCAGGATCATTCAAAGTGCCAGAATGAGAAAACTAGTTCTTCAAAGAAAGTTATTCTGTCCTCTGGCCTTAGTCTCTATCTCTATGGAGCTGGTTCGTTCTTCCTCTTTTTCTCATTATAGTTCCCTTTGGATAGTTAATTTGTACCCTGCTCAATGAGGCTGAAATGTGTATTAAGGAATCCATTCAAGGGCTTAACAAAGGCAGGCAGTGTTTTCCTGTTTCTTTCCCAGATAAAGCAAAAGCCAATAAACCTCTAGCATACCCTGTATTCTCTCTCAAAAAAAGTGATGCTGTTGTTTGTTTTGGCTCTTACTGAGTTCTGTAATAATGCCAGAAGATACATTTCTTGTTTCAGAGAAGATTTTAAGCTTTCAACCATAAAAGCCTTCTAGCTCGACTCTTCTCCTGGTTAAAGAATACGTTGAATTGTATTCAGGGTTTGGGAGTTACATAGCCTAAAGCTGTTGCTGGAAGTATGTTTATCCGTGTAATCCAAGAAATAGCTGACAGCTGTTTCCTCCCTCCAGTCCTACAGGAACTGCTCCGTGGCAGACTTCTCTTTGTGCTCAAGTAAGTGAGCTGTCATCTGCCACTAATGTGAGAGACCACAGCCGTCCTTGGCAGCTGTAGTATGTCAGGCTTCTCAGGATATCATCTCATTGCATTTCTCATCTGTTGCGAGGCTGAAGGCAAGCACTGGATGACTAAATTCTGTTTGGGATGGTTGGTGCGGTCGTGAAGAGCGTGCTGTGCCGCTTGTGAAAACACTGCAGCTTGTGAGCTCCAGAGAGTTTGTAACAGAAATTCACTGTATGTTAACACCCAAATCTGTTATGGGAGGAACCTGGGTCTGCCTACAGGTCAGTACTAGAGGGCAGAACAGCAGACACCTTCTGCCCCAGCCTGGGAGGAGCATGCTTTGACTGAGTGCCTACCTTGATGCATCTCTTGCTGTATAACACCAGGTTTATACAGTACTGTTAAATAAAATAAAGTAGAGTAAAATAAGGACCTGTATGTGGAATGCTGAAAGCAGAGGATTACTTCCTAGAACTATCAGTATGACTTCAATCTAAGTACATCATAGCTCATTTCTGAGGCAAATTAAATCTACCTCTATGTTCTTTCCCCTCAGCCTGGTGGAAGAAAGGTTGTGATAAAAAAAGCTAGAAAAACATTTGAGGGAAATTCTAGGATTTGGGGTATGTGGTTTTTAAGTAGATCACCATGGTGCTGCCCACCCTTGCACAGGTATATGTCCTATGTGATTTTATTTGAATGTTTTTAGCAACTTACTCAATGGGATTACTTGGCGATTTAAGGATTCTTTTTGTGAATAGAAACAATAAGGCTGGGCCCAGAGAAATTAAATGTAAGAGGGAGCTGAATCCAGTAGTAGGGCTGCCGCAGCCTTGTGCTCCCAGTAGTGAGGCTGAGAATGTATTCCCAGGCTTGCATACACAAGCACACATGTACAGCATGTACATGTGTATATATGCAGGTGGCCGCATAGATAACCACAAACAGATACAGTCAACATTAAAATGAACAGCGTCAGCAGGCTCTTCCTGTTCCCCTTTTTGGCTGATTGCAATGAAGTATGTTACCAGACTATATATATATATAAAAAAATAATAGATATTAAAATACATATTTCCTACTAATAGATTTTAAAAAAATGATATAATTTATATTTTTATAGCATTAAATTATATATATATATACACAAAACTCTGTGTGTATGTGTATATATATATATTGCTAACAGAAATAAAAGTCCAGTGTGGATCTCTGCAGCAGCTCAGTCTGCCCAGTATCTGTTCCTGATCCCAGTCTCTCCGGTTGCTTGAACCTGAACGTACCACCCCCTGAGGCTGCAGTTCCACTCTGGTTGCCAGTACAGTGCGTCTTGCACACATGCAAACACAGCTCCCTGGCTGTTGGCCAGGACCCACCTCGTCCCTGCGGTGGCCATACATTTAATGACTCCTCCCAGGCCACTTCACGTCCTCACCAGCTGGTCCAGCTTGTGCTTCACTAGTGCTCACACACTCAGCACCCACACCGGTGCTCCAGTTGCAGACACTAAGGTCCCTGCTACCCTTAGTGTGATACTGATTGTTGGCACTCATGGACACCCCACAATCCACACGGAACAGAGCTTCTCACCCAGGTGAACAGAGAATAGCTAGAAATGGAATTTAATGAGGCAGCAGGACAACTGATGAGATGCAGAGCATGGCCAGGCAAGAGTACTAACATCTGTTTCAGCAGTGGCCCTTTATTATCTCTCTGTCCTTCAGAGAGTGGTATCAGCAGAACTTTGTTCCAGGACTTCTAGTCCTATGTGTGCACTGACCTCATACATTCAGTCTTCTGACCACCTCAGGCACAGTCAGTGTGGCCACTTTACTAGCTTATAGCTTGGATAAGTAAATAAAATCACTGTGCTGATTCTGGACCTATTCTTGGGCAGAACTATAATTGGACACTAACGCAGGGTTGCTGCACCAAGTTTTTATGTGATGCAGATGTGTCCTGTAAGTCATGGTACTGATGAAATTCGTTGGAGAGAGATTCAGCCTGTTCTGAAATGAACGTTCAGTAAGCCTAACTGAGCAGGTCATTAGTCAGCTATTGCTAGGATAGGGGTGGAGTCAAACTGTGTTTCCTTAGAGAAAGTGTTAAAAACTATGGATGTGGTTTATAGCAATGCAGACAGGAAGGGTATTTAAAAACCCCCAGCAGCATACTAATTGGTTCTGCAAGTGAAGCAACAGAAGGGAAGCTGCAGTGCTGACTGTAGGACTGATCTGCATGCTTTTTGACAGAAACAAACTTCTATGGGTTCTACTACAATTGGGAATGAGGGGTGGGAGTGAGTTTTCTGTGTTCTTTCCTTCTGATTGAAATGCATTTTGAACAGCAAACAACTCCTGGTTTGGGTAGCTTTGGGGGGAGTGGCAGCTGTTTTCAGTGACACATTGAAATGGAGGGGAAGCTGACACACTGCATCACTTACTCCATAATGATTTGAAATCTAAATACTGTGTTCTCTGAACCACCAACTCTGAGGATGCAAGTGTCTGCTAAATCAGGTAGGCTAAGTGTTCTGCTGACCCTTCTGCTGTCTCTCTCTGGAAGCTCAGGGGTCACTGGGCACAAAACAGTGTTTTTCCTTAGTCCCCTATGGCTCAGCTATCACTTTCAACACTGTTTTGGCTTGTGTCCCATCACTACATTGTTTACTGCTCCCCAGGGGCAAAGAATCAGAAAGAAAGTATTTCAAAGGAAAGAGAGCATGTTTAATCACTAGGTACCCACCTGTTTTCTCATGTGGTAGTAACTTCCCTTCACCTCCTGTGGCATATGACAAATAGTATTCACTCCCTTTACTTCCAGGACCCTTCTTTAGCGTGATCTGTTAATCTGTCAAAAGTTGCCTAGTCCTTTGGTCACCTTCTCTTTTTGTGGGAACAAGTTAGTCTTTAATTTCCCACAACCTCTGATGTAATGACTCTTTTAATTCAAGGAGGATGACAGCAGTGCCATGTAATGATAACCTGATCCTGCACATGAAAACCAGGATATAGCAATCAGCTTCTAGGCTTTCACTGCCCAGCTGCAATGAATTGCAGGCTTTCATACATGAAGGCTGGGAATTAGCACATTACGGATTACGCTACCCAGCTATGCTCGCTGATGTTCATGTACAGGATTGAGATATTCTTACCTGATAGCATTGCCATCTCCCTTGAATGAAAGATGAAAGTTACCAAATTTTCACAGGATGGGTGGTATTTAAATAGACAAACCCCCCACCCCCCCCCAAAAAAAAAAAAGGAAGAGAGACTGTGTTTGTCAAAGCTTCCATGTGTCCTGCAATATATCCATTATGGAGATTTTAAGCTCTTGTCACATGGAGCCTATGTACACCTCTTAGAACTATAGTAAGCAGAGGGGGGATGACTTCCGCTTGAACTACTCTTTATGGCACACTGGTAGGTTAACAGAAGCAATGACGTGCTGGTAGCAATGGGAATGCAGTCCTACATCTGTGAAAATACTACTTACATAGTATGGTCAGTTAAGCACTTGTCCACATAAAGTACATGTGCTTCATAATGCACACGTGTCTGCAGTCACATTCTGTACTTGTGTTCCATCGAGTTTCCCACAAACATGCCTGAAGGAGATCTTCAAGCAGCCTTCCAATGCTCAAAGGGGGCCTACAAGAAAGCTGAAGAGAGACTTTTTTCAAGTGACAGGACAAGGGGGGCTGGGGGGGTGGCTTTAAACTGAATGAGGGTAGGTTTAAATTAGATATTAGGAAAGAATTCTTCACTGTGAGGGTGCTGAGGCACTGGCACAGGTTGCCCAGAGGAGCTGTGGCTGCCCCATCCCTGGCAGTGTTCAAAGCCAGGTTGGAGAGGACTTTGAGCAACCTGGTCTAGTGGAAGGTGTCCCTGCCCATGGCAGGGGGGTTTGGAACTGGATGTTCTTTAAGGTCCTTTCCGACCCAAGCCATTCTGTGATTCAGTGCTAAATCTTTCATAGCTTTGAAGTCTAGAGTTGAACAGGAAGATCTGCTTGTTTTGTTGTTTGGTTAATTGTTTTTTGTTTTTTTTTTTTGGGGGGGGGGAGGGTGTGAGGTTACTTTGTGCTTTTTCTTTTTCTCTTGTATTTCATAAAGATTGCTCTTTGCACTTTTTTTTTAGTCTTCATTTCAGCTTTAGTATGAGTGACAAATGAACAGATATTTATTTATGTTACATACTTCAGCCTTAAAACAGGTGTACAGGGTTTGTTGTTTGGCACAGGGAAAGCAGGAAATAAGGAACCTGTTGTTATTCCTGAAATTTAGGAAGCAAGAGAGATTTTCCTACCTTTTCATGTGGAAAATGTAAAATGACTCTACTAAGAGCGCACTAGTCCTAACAAGCAGTGTGGCATAGGTAAGTTCACAGTATTTCCAGTCCACAAGTCTCTCAAGAGATGGCTTTTCATTCAGTAATTTCTTTTCAACAACAGCTCTGACAGTCAGCTTGCCAGGCTAACACCACCATCCGTTTAGCAGGCTGCACTCACAAGAAACTGAAGTTTAAAGAAGCCAGTGCAGTGCCCGACGTCTAGAATAGTGCAAGTTTAAGACTTTTGGCTGCAAAATAGCAGCAAACATGAGTCATTGCTGTTCTGCAGCCAGCAGTCCACCGGGGACCAGCGTACTTCATGACGGTTGGCTTAACAGTGTTGGCAGCTTGCTATGGAATCAACTAGCCTTGTGATACACATCCTGGAATGCTAAGCAGAAATTTCTGTATCGGTGTAGCTCAGGGAAAAACCTGCTCCCTTGACCCCCCACAGTGTTTGACATAAAATTTCCTAACAACCAGTAATGGAAAAGATGCAGCCTTTGAGTTTTGGTACACAGCATCTCCCAGGTTCTCACCTGAGCTCCTGCCCTCTGTGCTGCCTGTTCCACAGGACCCACTGCAGATTATCAGAATCTGCTCCTTTCTATCAATCTCCTAAACTGTTCAACAGAAAGCAAGAAAGGATTATTTCTTTGTCAAACATCAACCTTAGGGACCTACAGACATGTAGAACTACATCACTCACCATAGTCATAGACCTTACACAGCTGTGATCACAGCATTGGAACAGGCTGTCCGGGGAAGTGGTGGAGTCACCATCCCTGGAGGTATTTAAAAGACATGTAGATGTGGCACCTGGGGGCATGGTTTAGTGATGGACTTGGCAGTGTTAGGTTAATGGTTGGACTTGATGATCTTACAGGTCTTTTCCAACTTCAACAATTCTATGATTCTATGATAACTGAGTAGCTACAGCTATTGCAAAACAGCAATAATTTGGTAAGTTACATGCACTACCATGTTACCTATATTTCAAAAACTCTTTTCAGTAACAAGACTGTTTCTCCATGTTTCTAGAAGTTCTTGCCAGCTATTAACAGCTGATCTTGCTAGCCATGCTGTGTGTGTCTGTGCTTATCATGATTCCACAGCAGATTTCTTTTGTCTTTCAGGAAAGGATGTGGCTGACAGATGGTACAATGAAATAAAAAATTACAGCTTTCAAAACCCAGGGTTTTCTTCTGGGACAGGTAAGGTCAGACTGGGCACTGTCTCTTCAAAACCCAGCTTTTATGTTAAGAAATTGGTGAGCCAAGTTGTTTGGTATTTTTCAAGAATCTATCTTCTTTTCTTAGGAAAAAGGATAGAGATGAAAAAAAATTTGCATTTCCTCAAATGTTAGAAACTAACAGAAGGGTAAAAGGAAACTGAGAAATGAAGAAGTAAGCAAATTTTGTGGGTTTTTTTAATACTGTAGATTTCCTCCAACTCCAAAGTTTTTAAAAGGCAACTTATTTTTAAGGCAAATTAATTTGTAGAAAATACTAAATTGGGATCATATAGGTTTCTTTCTTACTATGCTGGTGTTTGCGTTGACTTGTGCTTTCTACCAAATTATACCATTTCAATCGCAGAGATCACTTCAGATATAAGGTGGAGATCAGGAACAGGCCATTGGCTGCATATTGACAATCCAGTGTTTAATGAACATAAAAACATTGTTCCTTGATGACAATCCAGTGTTCAATGAACATAAAAACATTGTTCCTTGAGTAATGCTCAAGCAAGAGATACGCCTGAGCTTGTTTCAGATGAAGAAAATCATGCTTTTCACCCATGGGATTTGTCTATGCATAGAGGGAACAACTGATGGAGCAGCACAATGCACGGGTGGCTATTACAACTAGGCAGAAGAAGCCACAAAAGCAGTATTATTTTTAACAGTTGCACATGCATATACATGGGGGAGCATGAGATGGTTAAAGCAAATGAATATTAGTCACTGTCAGAACTGCTGTTCACACTGCAGGGAGTATAACCATGATGTCTGTTGAATTTTGTATCAGATACTCATCAAACTACTTCTTTCTTGATTCTCCTACAAGATATTCTTATTTGGACATGGAAATGGGAATGGTAGTGAGGAATCAGATCAGGCTGTTTCAAGACAAAATGCTAGATGCAGGGTTTTTTCATGTTCTTAGCTTGTTCTCCAGTTAGGAAAAGAATCATTTTTTTATTGTTCTTTCTTTCCCCACTCCTCATGTGTTAAAGGGAGTGCTGCAGATTTAGTACCTAAAATGAATGCCTATGTTTCTCTCTCTTTCTTCAGGTCACTTCACAGCAATGGTTTGGAAGAGCACAAAAAAGATGGGAGTTGGAAAAGCATCCGCTAGTGATGGCTCAACGTTTGTGGTGGCTAGATATGATCCAGCTGGAAATGTAGTAAATCCAGGCTATTATGAAGAAAATGTCCTTCCTCCACGAAAATAACTTCTTTTTTTCTTTTCTTTTTTTCTTTTTTCTTTTGTTTTAAAAGGTAGCCTTATTGCTTAATGACAAGTGAACCTGGATTTGGACTTGACAGTGTTTGAAATGAAGCACGAGTCAATGAAATTTCCTGTTTGATACTGCTGTTCACTTCTCATTACAGAGGAAGCAATTACATGTTATTCGAGTCAATCTGCACGTTAGGTCCCTGTTGTTTCTGAGGGGGCTTCAGTTTAACTGAGGATGAAGTACATGCAGAATTTCTGAAGGGTAACCTTTATAAGTTGTTTTCTTTTTTAATAGCTTGCATGAACTCTGTGTCAGCATGTGAGTAAGCACATGTTGGATGTCTTTTTTTAAGTGAGCAAATTTATAGCCTTCTGTAAACTGAAGATACCAGCTTCTAATTATATCACGTACTCCCAGTTTTCCAGTGTTTTTTAATAACTGTAACTTCTTTGTTCTGTCTATACCTCCTGCTACTGTGGAGCCTTCTCTCTGCAGATGGAACATATGCAAAACTTCCTGTGTGAAAGGTACACATGTAAAATGCAGTGGCATTCAGACCTATGTTTCTTTATTAAGAGGATCTCACAGAACACTAAAACATTGCTGGCAAAATTGTATCCATCAAGCAAGCCATAACTGATGTGTGACTTGAAAGCTACTAAAATTGTTTAAACCCCAGTTACATTTTAGGTGCTAATATTTAAAATCTACTTGAGATGAGTGTGTTTCAAGTTCAAATCCCATCTTACGGTTTACAGCATGTACATTGCCTCATAATCAACTTGTTTACTTCTGTTACAGGAAAGTAAGACACTATTTTTTCTCTTAGATATTTACGCACAAAGAAGTGCGATAGATTGATAGATTTTATTTCTCAATAACTTATTTTTACTTTCTAAGGATTATCTTCTTCATGTGTTATGCTATACAGACAATAACATTCCCAAAACATCTCTTGTCTCCTTTAATAATGCCACAGTAGGAGGTATTCACATGGCCATGATTAAGAGGTTCACATGATCTTTGTTCGTATCATTCAATAACAGTGAAAATATTTCACATGCTGGATTGATGCCTTGAAAAAAAAGTCAGACTGAATTTACATAAAGCAAGCAAGCAAAATTCTGAAGGACACTTTTTTTCTCTTAAGAGCACAGATTGGACCATTTCGGCCAGGCTCATGTACTGTTCGACTTGGGGTTTTGTTTTCTTTGTCAAATTTTCCTTTGCCTTCTGCTGAGATTCTGTATGCCAGAATTTGGTTCATGAAGAGTGCCATTAAAGAAATACCTATTTTTGTTTACACAGTTGTAATAAACTGCACTGTTGCAACTTGATTATATGTCACTGTGATGTGGTATGTTACAGTCCTTTTGCTGTAACCAAGAATTTAACACATATAATGAACATCTGAAAACAAAATATTTTTGAATATGAATTACTCAAGCCTTTGCTGTCACCTGAGTCTTTGTTGAATAATCTTCAGACTCTATTTCCAGGACGTTAACATATGACACGATTACTTTTGCAACATCGAGCAGACAGTATTCTAGTCCAGGAAACAAACAAAAAAAAAGATGAAACCTTCTAAGAAATGCTAAATCAAATGGCAGATTGTACATCATCCCGATATAAAAAGATTGAGCTAACCCTTGGAGCTGAGGAGGCGTACCTCTTTCTGTCTTGAACTCCTGCTTTGTATGTTGTTTCGTTTCTGTGTTCCTCCTCTCAGTTGACATGTTCTCAGCAAAGCATACCTACTCAACTCCAACTCAGATGCATGTGTTTCAGTAACTGCAGTCTCAGGACCTTTCTCTCTTCAGCCCTCAGCTGACAAATGCCGCAGTCCCAAATAGACTCGTTTTCTACCTATAGTGCATTATCATCATAGAATAATTTGGGTTGGAAGGGACCTTCAAAGCCCATCTAGTCCAGCTCCCCTGCAGTGAGCAGAGATGTCTTCAACTAGATCAGATTGCTCAGAACCACATCCAGCATGGCCTTGAATGTCTCCAGGGGTGGTGCATCCACCACCTCTCTGGGCAAGCCAGTGTTTTACCATCCTTATCACCACAGAGAATGAAAACAGGACTTCCTGGAAAGAAGAAAGGCACACTGCGACTAACGTAAAGGTAAAAGCTGATGCTAAATAAATCAACAATATTGAAATATTCTGTTTTTTCCTAATGACATTGCTGCTATCAGCCCTTTAATTCCTTGAATGGTTGGCATAAGACTGTATGTATCCTACATAAGTGACTCAAGTGAGAATTTTGCTCTGCTGCCGCCTAGTTTTTGTTTTAATGTTAGAACGGGGAAGGTAGGTAAAGAGAGGACAAGAGAAAACAAAACAAAGCTTGTAATTATTTCAAATGGTAGTGACAAGTGAACTTCCAGAGCTTTTTAGAGCGTTTTGAGGGAGCATCAGAGGTAATCAGACATGGAAGAAGCACAAAGCCACTCAAAAAGATACAGTGCCTGCTTCATGCACTCCACAGGGTCCATGCAAGTAAGTATGATTGTCACAACTGAAAAAAAACCTTGCCAATATAATTCTTCATGACCCAACATCATGATGTTGATGCCGCTTGCAAATGAACAATCACTGTGCAGGAAACTGTGGTGTATGTAGGAGGCAAATCCAAAGGGAAGAGTAACATTGCTGATGTGACTCACTGAAAAGTCATATGATTTTGGGGAGGTGTACACTGAAACCTGACTTGCTAGCCATCTGTGTTAGAAGACTCTGTGTAGGTGTATTGCTCCACTCTCTACTACATCTTGGGCAGTTGTGCAGATTGGCAGGTGCAAAAGAAAGGCTGTCTATCTGCTGTCCTGTGAGAGCAGAACAAGGTGCTCAAGAGCTTCCTCAGCCAGGGTTGTACAAGTCATGTTTGCTCTGGAAATAAAAAAAACAGGCTTATCTGACAGCTTTGATACCACAGAAAATCACCTATCTTTAGAGGCCTGCAGATGGTTTCTAAGGTCATTTTTTGCAGCAGCAGCAGCAGAAGGAGGAGGAGGAATTCTAGCTGGTCAAGGCCTCATTTCTAGTCTTCTCCTTTAAATAATAACAAAACACTTACTTAGGAAAGAACTGGGACCAGTCTTAAAAAAAGCACTAAAGAGGGCAGCCTGCATTACACATCCTAATCTGCCACCTTGCCTCCTTTATCTTCCCAAAAGAACAAAACTCAGGCAATTCCTCCTCCAAAGAGTGGAAGATGACATTGAGAAGTGGTAGAAGTACTGTTAGAAGACCACAGATCAGACAGAAAGCCACACCACATGAACAACAATAAGCCCATGGGCAAAAAAGGATTCAAACACTTGGTGGAAGTCTTGCAAATTGTACTTGGAAATGCTTTGCTGTTTGCAAGCTCAGCCTCTCTGCTTGTCCCCAGCTTCAATTTTTCAGGTGTGCCCCAAACAGCAGCCAGTGGGCTGAGCAGCCCTTCTCTGCTGTGCTCCTCCCAGACACTTCCTACATCCTCTGTTCCTCTGCAGAGAGTAGGAGCTCAGTTCCTGAGTAGTAGCTGACCTTGCACAACCAACCTAGCAGCCACTGTAAATCTTCCTGGCAAGGTTCCTCTTTTGAGTTCATTTACTTTCTAGAGCAGTGCTGTCAGGGCCCTGCCTATCATATCCTTGAATAAGAAGTTTTATGTGCTCTGCTTTAGCTCAAACACTAATTCCTCTGTCTGTCCTGGGCTGTCTATCACAGCCTGTCTAGCAGGTTGCTGAGAAAGACAGGATTCCAAGAGCCTTGTCACTGATACAGAGAAATGCGGTTGGCTTTAAGTTGTGCAGGTGAACTGTAAAGAGTTCTGCAGAGAGCAAGGTACATGAAAACGGCCAGGATGCAGAGCCTGCTGATCTCAATGCCTAACGCCCTGTCCAACCTGGCCTTGAGCATCATCAGGGATGGGGCAGCCACAGATTCTCTTGGCAACCTGTTCCAGTGTCTCAGCACCCTCACAGTAAAAGAACTTCTTCCTTATATCTAAACTGAACTTCCCCTGTTTGAGTTTTAACCCATTAACCCTTGATGTCTCCACGCAGCCTTCTCTTCCCCAGGCTGAACAGCCCCAGTTTTCTCAGCCGGCTCTGCTGCCACACACGTGTGGTCTCCTACAGATTTCCACCAGGGTCTTTCCTCCACTTCTGCTTCGTCAGAGGCTCAATCTGTCTGTCCTCATGACTGCCAGCCAGAACCTTCTGGAGGGACGTCCGCGGTCATTCTTCACCACACCTCGCCCCCCGGTTTGGCTCAAGTGCCAGCCCTGGGCAGACAGACGGGTTACTCCGGCAGCGTGGTGCTGCTCTCACCTATCCTGACCAGGGCGCATCCCGTCTGTGCTTCCCGGGAAGCGCGGCCAGCCCGTCCCGGCAGGTGGCAGCATCGCTCCGCGGTTCCCTCGCCGGGCCGCCGCGGCCCCCGGAGAGCCCGGCTTCTGCCGTGCCGCCTCGGGTCCGGCTCTGAGCGCGATTCCTCCTGTGCCCCAGTTACTGAATACATTAAGATCAGTCACAGCACCAGCTGGAATAAAGGCGGGCTGCGGCTTTTTGCTGCAGGAATTTGGTTGGAAATGGAATTTGGAAGGGATTTAGCTGAGCCCATCCAAATATAGAGTGAGGTAAGCGATGGGAGCAGTGTGTGGATATGTGTTCTGTCAAGTCCTTTTTCAGTGAGCCCGGGGGCCACACGCACATCTGCCTCAAACTCTGCTGCTTCGGGACTGCTGCTTTATCTATCCCTGCATTCAAAGTTCACGTTAAACATTGGCTCCAGAAAACAATTTAATAACAAGGCAATTTATGACATGGAAAGCTTGCATTTATCAAAGTGTCTCAGCTGATACAGTTCTCAACCTTGTTCTGTAGTGCAGACTCAATAGTTAGATATCCTCACTGGCCTTGGGCACAGTGAGAAGGTGCTAGATACCTGTAAGTGTACTGACTGGTGTCTATGAATTAGCTGGGAGCCAAAGATGACAGAGGAGGAGATGTGTGGCCACAGTGCCAGTGGGAATTGGGGCTGGAAGGCTGCTTCAGAGGAGCTTGGCTGGATCTGTAGCACTTGCTGCCATCTGAGAGGAAACAATGTCCTGCCTGGCTGCATTAAGGATGTAGATGGCATCCCTTCTCCTCCTGCCTCCACTTTTCTTCATTCCTCCACATTTACTTAGGCTTTCTGCAAAACAGAAGAAATCCCCTGCAACAGTGAGTTGACTCTTGGTGGGGTATTGCTAAGAAGGGGCTCATGACCCTTGGGACAGTGGCAAATCACTACATGCAGCTATCCCATATGTTTCTTCCATGAAACAAATAGCTTACAGTGCCTTGCATTCTCTGTGTTTGTGTTGAGCCTCCTCTTAGAAGCAACAATACAAAAGCTACGCCAGTGTAAGAACCATGGAGGAGACTTAGCCCTGTCCCTCCATCACAAGTACATGACCAAATGCCTCACTCCAGGCAGAGTTACATTGTGGAATATGTGTTGAATCACCATCCCTAGAGGCATTTGAAAGACGTGTACATGTGGCACTTGGGGACATGGTTTAGCGGTGGACTTGGTAGTGCTAGGTTAATGGTTGGACTCAACAGTCTTCAAGGTCTTTTCCAACCTAACCAATTCTGTTATTCTATGATTCTTGAATTGTTTCTTCAACAAGCAAGCTATTTCTCTCCGATATTTGATAATCTGTGTCTGTTGGCTGCTTGCCCACTTCCCTTGGCAAGTGCAGAGCTTTCATGTAAAGCTCAGAGTCTTAGTCAATTATTTTGGTTTGTCCTCCCTCTGCCTTCCTTGGTTGGGAATTGCTGGTGAGCACAGTGCCTTCAAGCTGTAATTTCCTGTTGCGTATTTTCTGAAACCATGTGAGGGATTGCTCTTGATGAGCTTTCCAGGAGCCTGCTACAACTGAACTTGTCTCATTATCAGCCAGAAATAGCCTTCAGCTTCTCGTCATCCTTTTACTCTCACAGCTCAGGATCGTTTTATTTTCCCTTCCCGGGGTTTGAATGCTGATATGAGGTCATGGAGTCTCTGAAGGTAAGTGGCACAAGTCCATCTGGGCTAGCACAGAAAGAGGGCAGGAAGAGAGTGCTCTGAGTACTATGGGTAATTCATAAAGGCATTACATGGTGCTTATATCCTAGATCAGGTCCTACCACGTGGTGGTCTAGGAGGCAGCAATGGCTGTTCATGAGTGTGTATCACCCTTGTGCTAATCTTCAGTAAAGAGGTGATCTGGTGGACAGAAATCACTGAGAAATTCCTAGGGTTGAAGGTGGCAAGGGGCCCAGAGAAGAGGGGAGGATCAGCAAGGCTGCA